AGTTACAGCACTGATAAAAACCCTTTAAATCAATTTTTTTAACACTGTTCTCGTATTGCAAAGAAAGGCCAACCAGCCCTGGGTCTGCGTGGCGAGGCAACCTTGTTAAACAGCATTATTAGAACATTAAATATGCTTAGACTGAAACTTGAGTCTTATTCCATAGATTCTTATTCCATGCGTTGCTGATTAACCTCAACCTAAATGTTGCAGTAATGAAATAATAACCTCCATTTAATCTAACATCTAACTGATCACGAAAAAAAAATGTATGCAATTTTTTTTTTTTCAAATGGGAATAAATTCTGGCTTTGAGTTTATATTCAGTGTTTATGTTGTTGATAAAACCTTTTGGACAAAAAAAATAAATAAATAAATAAAAATGCACACTAATGTGTTTACACGGCTGTAAAGTCAAGACCGGTGTTCTGTCAGATGAGCATACTCCATCAGACCAGCATACCTATAGTCAATACCCATTTATTCCTTAAGTTAATCCCTTTAGTTTTGTATGAAAAGTAGACTTTAGACTACCTCAACGGCCCTGTATCCCTTTAGTCATTTAAAAAAAAAATATTAACTACTTACTTTTTGGTGTTTTTTGAAGTGTATGGCGATCTGACCTTAAATTGTTTTTTTTGTACATGACTAAATAGATTCACGCTTGTTGAGGTAGTTTCAAGTCTATTTTTCGTACAAAACTAAAGGGATAAACTCAAATCTGAATTCTTGCATATTGACTATGGGTATGTTGGTCTGACGGGGTATGCTGATCTGACAGAACACCGGTCAATAAGAGACAATGGGAGAAAAATAGTAAGAATACGATGAGGGTAGATAGGTTAAATTAAAACCTTTTTCTATGCTTTGTAAATGTCTTTATTCAGAGAGAGCCTTGGTGACTGCTTGGTGAGAATGACAATTTAATGGATGCTTTGTGTTTCAGGTATGCCCATGACAGTGCCAACCTATCCTATGGGTAAGTGGTTAGGCTCAGATTGGTCACTACTGGTTTTATATTTAATCATTTTCTGGTGCAATTTATTAGTGAATTAAAAGAAAATTGTTTTACAGTGTTTGCATAAATTCTCTGTGGGACACAGAACCACAGATCCCAGCTGTGGCACGGATAGCATCAAACTGGAACCATTTTAGTTTAAGTTCCAAAAACAAAACAACTAGACTTCAGTTTTAATGGATGTCATCATATACATGGTACATG